AAACAACACTTGATTTCGACATCTGAGCAAAGAGTTATGATCGTTCAAAGATTACTGCCAAAGGGCCCCTGTTATACGATTTTCCAGTTTTGTTCTTGCCCAAAACTCAACTTTTTCTCAACCAAATCAAATGATTTTTGGTGGAAACTTTCCACACATCCTATACAACATATCTACATCAGATTCAAGGTCATTTGGTCTCCAAAAATTTGAATCAAAGGCTCGGCAAAAACAGGGCAGAATTGGTCAGCTACCAACCGAAATTTTCCTCAACTTTCCTTTCAATTTTCCAACTAATCTCACCTTGTTTACCACTTAATTAACACAAACCACAATTATAATCACCATATCATTCCAATACATCCATTGTGGGATTTCATAGAGCCCACTTCAATCATTTACAACCAAATAACAACACCCACAATGAAGCTACAAGTTTCATGGCCAATATCAAACCCACTAAAGCTAAAGATGGAAGATTGGATGGTTTGGATGATTACCTCTTTGCTTTGATGAAGAACCAGAAATTTTGCACTTCTAAAAGCTCCAAAAAAAAAACGTGAGATGGTCCCTTTCTTCTAGCTTAAGTTGATCCCCAAGAAAGTTTGTGGTTGGATATTGATTTGTGGAAGATTTGGAGTAAGGAATGAAGTGGAATGATGAAGAGTTCTTCTTCTTCTTTGCTTGAAAAATTTCGGCCAGCCTTGAGAGGAAAGAGAGAGAGTATGGCTGATGATGAAGCTTCTTGGAGAAGCTTGGTGGTTGGTGGTTCAAATTTTGAGCAAAAGTCAACTTTCAATAGTGCGCGTGCACGCGCGTTTCGTGCCCGTTTTCTCTCGGGTTCGTTTCACTTGTGCACTAAACCTCTAATGTACTTCCTTTAACACTATTATTATTCATTTTTAGTAGTCTAACAATAATTTTCTAAAGTCCTTCAATTAGTTGCGCGCGTGAAAACGTGAACTTTTGACTCGCACGCGATAAAGCGAAATTTCTAAGAAATTCTTATAACGATAGTATAACTAACTAATACTAGAGTAATTAATCATAAAAATAACTATTTTAGAAATAAAACGTGTGACGACTGGAAAAATTTCCTTATATTTTTCTTAAAATCCCCTTTCATTTGGAATTTGTTACTTTAGAATAATCTTACTACTCATTTATCCCACAATAAGTGCAAATAAACATAGAATCATGGGTTTTTCCTTTTGTTTTCAAGTTATCATAAATTAGGGTTTTACGCCTATCCGTAGTGCGACTATCCGGTACGAAGTGTGGATCAAATTTGGTGATTAAAAGTGAGTTTTAGATGATATTAAGTGTAGGATTAGAAGTGATAATAATAAGTTAGTGAATTATAAGTTAAAACCCTAGTATACGCGATTTAAGGAAAATCGGTTCAAACCGACAGGTACCGCTCACTACCGATTGACCACACCACTTGACTACCACTTCCTCACCATAAAATATCATTGATATTGGTGCAAAATATCTCCCTCATCCTCAGCCCTCTTAGCCGAAATATTTGACCAAAAAAAATGCAAGGAAAAGAAAAAATTTGAGATGGATTTTGGTTGCGGCAAGTGGCAACCATCCCTTAAGCGTTGACCAACCAATTTTCCTCCATATTTATCATCAAAAAAACACACAAATTGCCCTCATTTTCTTCCTCCTAGCCGTGAATAAGAGAGAGAGAGCAAGAGAAAAACAACTTCACTTCATCTTGATTTGCAACATTTGAGTGAAAACAAGAAAAACTAAACCGATTAAATACTAGTTTGGGAGTTTGGGAAGTTAAGGAACCAAAAATTTCAAGGGAAAGTGGAGGATAACTCTAGCAAGCTTTGTTTTTGAGGTAATATGGCTGACCACTCTTTTCTTTTTCCTTAATCATGTTGGAGTTGCTTAGTAACTTGTATTTGTGGTTGTAATGCTTATATCAAGAGATTTTGGATGGTTGGGGTGATGAATTTGAGTTAGGGTTTGAATGATTCACTTATAATACTTGTTGTATGGGTGGTATATGATGTATATAAGTTGGTATAAGAGGTGGTAGTGATGGTTTCAAGCTAAAAATGAGATTTATACCTTGATTGTAGCAAATTTCCAGAATTGAAGTTAAGGTATACCCCTGTTCTGCCCGGTTCTAGTTCACCATGTTAGAGGCCGAATTTGGCTTATCCTAAAACATAAAAGTTGTAGAGAATAATGTATTATAGTTTCCTACAAAATTTCAGCTCAATCGAAGCACTGTATCTTGTGAAAAGACAAAACTACCCCTGAGACTGCCCTAGGTAGAGTCCAGCAGACAGTTTTGACATTGCCTCACGTTGGCTGCATTTTTTCACCTTGATCTGTATCAAACCAGTCTTTGGCCAAAACATGAAACATTTAACCCTATGTTTCAGCTGTCCAACGCCCCTGACAACGTCTTAATCGGACTTCGGTAGCTTGAGTTATGGCCATTTGAATGTAGTGCAGCTAAATAGCCTGTTGGTAGGAATCTGGTTCTGTAAATTGGGAATATGACTTGGATACGCTAGAAACTGTACTAATTAGTCTTCATCAAAGTTGTAGATCTTTGTCTTAGTTTCAAAACAGTACCAATTTTACACCAATCCGATAAGCGTAGCCTTAGTTATGTCCATTACGCAAAACAACGTCAAATCTGTCCTTTGTTTCTTGACTCAAATTTCATTTCCGCATATGTTCCTAGTTTGGTTTGGTACTTGTATGACCTTGAACCTATTGAACAGCTATTGAAATGAGATTATTTTGTGTGTAACTTTGGGACTGATTGAGGAAATGAATGAAGCCATAAATGGCTGGAAAATAGGTAAACACATAGGGCGTGCTGCCCAAATTTACACTTGAGGACTAGGTAAGGATTTGAGGACGAATACCACTTGAACCATCTAGGATATTTGCATCTTCTTATATACCTAGAATTCGTCTGAAACTTGTACCCTTGGAAAAATAAAATTTACAACTAATAGAAATACATTTTCTTTGTCACTTCGACTCAAATGGAGATTTCAAAGTTTTACAAGCGAGATAAATTTTACAAATATTTTACTCATGTTCTTTGGGTCACCTAAACTTTGGATGGTTTAACCGTAATATTTTTCCTTGGTTGTTATTAGGGTTCCTTGGTGAATGAGGTTTTATCCGGAAGGATACTTTGGACATTAATTTGCTTAAATAGGTGAGTGTTCCTTGTTCGTTATATTTTCCTTGACTTCAGGGTTTGTTGTTATGGGTTGATAATGTGTTAAGTGCTCTCAATGCTTGCTAAAACGAGTTTTCTTGGCGAGTGTGTATTTTATCGCACTTGACCTAAATGTATGTGAAATTTTCAATGATTCAATGATTGAAACGTTACTTGTGCATGAATGTAAGCCTTTTGCCTGAATTTGGCCCTGCCCTTCGTTACCGATCGACTCGAACCAGAAGCGGACTGGGTCGGGCGATATGGTGACCCTGGGTGAATGTTTGGTATACTCAAGTATTACCTTATAGTCTGGTGGAGTCCGGCCAACGTCCGGAAGGGGGTGAAATGAAATGAATGAACGATTGGTAATGCGAATGAGGGGTTTTTACTTACAAAAATGCATTTTCAAATGATTGGAGGAATAAGGGAATGAAAGGAGAATGAATGAATGGCTCCCTGTGAGCACGTATCCGTTTAATATATGTGTTATTATCGTTTTGTATTGTAAATGTTTCTTGACTTATTGTTTGACTTATTGCTTGATCATCGCTTTCAATGGACTTATTGTTTGATTATGTGTTCGAAACCTCATTGAGCTTTTAGCTCATTCCTTTAGTTTTATTTTCCTTAACAGGGGAAGGCGAGCAAGGATGAGAGCTCTGTATAGGCTAGTCTAGTCTAACTCTTTGAATTTTTGTAATGGTTCTAGCCCTAGCGTTTGGCGGGGTGGTTGTATGAAGAATTAAGAACCTTTGTATATTTGAGTTTGTACTCCTTTTCGAGATAGAAATGTATATAAGTTTCACTTTAAGTTTTGGATTGTTGCTATACTTATTATTGTGATTTTATTCCAGTTTTGATTGAGGTATGACTGAGTCCTGGCGAGAGTTAGGCAGGTGGTCCGCCGAACCCTTTGGTTCGCCTTAGGGGGAGGTGGGGCTATCACAAAACGTGAGTCCTGAAATCTCCAAGGTCACTGTACTCTCAAATCGAATATGCCTCCAAACGCGTATTCACTAAATCTCACTAAACGAGCTTCCGAAAATTAAATTTATTAACGGGACATTTTAAAAATATATGCAAGTCATAGTTCCATGTAAATGGTTCTAAAAGGGTTGAAATAAATTATTCAGAGAAAACGAGTGAATAATTATTTAAATAAGCCAATAAAATAAGATAAAAATAAGTAAATTTTTTTGGGTCCTCACACCACGTGCAACGATGAAGTTAATAATTGGTAACAAGATGGAGTTACATGTCAAATATACTGTGACAGATATTTGCATAGAGATGGTTGCTTGAGTGGTGTTGGACCTGTCTCAATGGAGAGCGTGGTTTAAGAGAGACAATGTTGGCAAAATAAACCAATCCTAGAAATATTTATTTATTTATTTATTAGTTTTATTGGAATTAGATTTCTAGTAGTTGTGTGATTTAGGAATTTGTGTATTATTTAGCAATTTCTTATGCAAGTGTATTCTTTTCTAACAAGTTTGGTAAATTATAAATAGGACATTATTTAAGATATTTTCTAGAGAGAGTCTAGAAAAGTTTGTCAGATTTCTATTATAGTGTGACTTTCTTGATTGTTTGAGATTTCAATACTATTGTGAGTTGAGTTTATTATTTTCTTCTCTCCCACATATATTTTGAGTGTTTGTCTTATCCCTTCAATTCTGTAACACTGCACGTATTGATTATTATTAGTACCCTAAAATTTGAGTTCTACATTTTCTTCTTATAGACATGCTAGGACTAGAGAGTTCCTTGACTTCAATATTTTCAGTTGCCAAAAATAGCAACATCTTGGCCAAGGCTAGTTGTTGCCTTGGCAACATGTCTGAAGGCCACAAATGTAGCTGCTATAGACAAAAAGCCCTACATTTATGCATCTCTACCACCTTCCTCACCTTCACCACCACCACCTTACTACTACAAGTCACCTCCAACACCATCTACTTCACCTCGTCCTCCTTACATCTACAAGTCACCACTTCCATCTTCTCCCTCATCTCCTCCACCTTATACCTATAAGTCTCCACCACCTCCATCACAATCACCAGCACTTCCATATGTTTACAAGTCACCTCCACCTCCTTCTCTTTGTCTACCCCCACCATATTATTATAAATCACCACCACCACCATCGCTATCACTTCTACTTCCTTACTACTATAAGTCTTCGCCACCTATCTCACTGTCACCCCCACCACCATATTACTATAAATCTCCACGAATACCATCCCATTCACCTCCATCTCACTATTACTATAAGTCACCACCACTTCGTTCCTTATCACCTCCCCCTCCTTATTACTATAAGTCTCCACCACCATCACTATACTATTACAAATCTCCACCGCCACCATCTCCATCAACTCCACCACCGTATTACTATAAGTCTCCACCACCTCTATCACCATCACCATCATCTCTACCTCCTTATTACTATAGTTCTCCACCATCACCATCCCTATCACCTCCGCCCTATTACTACAAGTCAACGCCATCTTCTTCCCCAACCATGTTATTTTGCATGATAATATTTGGCATCCAAAGCATAAGAAATCTAAAGAAAATTCTAGCTCCAACTGGGTGTTAAATTGCAGAGCCAAAGAAGAAGAGTTAGTGTTCAAGTCTTCAAAGTATTCTTTTTTGTAATATCATGGCCTTGAACATATGTTGCAATATTTGTTGTATTAGCTTTTGTTTTTTTTTTTTATCATGTCTCTTGAATCAATGTCTATCTTAAAGATGATGTTTTAGTAATAAAATTTTGGTTTAATTAATTTACCTCCCCTCAAATTTGACCAAATTACCGATCAAGCCCCGAGATTTGGCCAAATAACAAATACACCCCTATTAATAACTTCTATTAAATGTGAGTAAAATGACTAAATGCCACCAAAATTAAAATTGCCTATCTTACAAAATCATCATATATTTTCTTTTCTATTTTCTTCCCATTTTTTTGTTTCCAATTTTTTAGAAGCCTTAAAGGTAACAACAATGGCAGCTGGAATGTTGGGGCTCCTGCTACATCCATCGCCTGCCACTTGCACTTGCGACCATCGCCAATCGCCAACTTCGGCCATCCAATTTCCAAAATTGTAAAAAAAAAAAATGCCTACTTCATCTTTTTGTGTGAGTTGCGATTCTAGCTACAAACTCAACCAAAATTCACTGCATAATTGCCAAATGGGCCTACAAGTGAGGCTGCTCTATCTCTCTGATAAGTGCATATTTTGTTTGTTTTAAGTGTGTTTTATTTATTTTCTATAGCTAATGGACTAAGTTTCTAGTGAAGTATGCATTTTATGGGTTAAGTATCAAAAATTGTATTTCTATGGATTTAAGCGATGAAAACTTATTATTTTGTAGGTTTAAGGATTCAATCATCAAATGGAGTGAATTGAGAAAATAAGTGGATGATTGTTGATGATTTTAAAGTGATTTAAAGAGAATATGAAGTGCCATATACTCAAAAGATGAAATGCAAGCAAGTATAAAAGAGGAAAAGTTTGATAGGTTTGATACATGTTGGTATTTTGGCTATATCTTGAATTACAAGTATTGGATTGAGGTGATTTTTAAACCATTTTGAAACTAACATATAGCTTTACATTTCTTATGTAGATATCTAAATCTAGTTCATGATTTTTCCTAGTCAAAATGTCATAATATAGAAGTAAAATTTTGTTGTCAAAAGCTAAAATAGAGTTTTGATCAGTCGAGGCAACTTTCATGTTTTGCAAAAGAACTAGTTCAACCTCCATCATCAAGAGAACATCAGTTGAAGTGGTGCTAAAGTCACATAAGTGAAAAAGTAAGCTTTAACTATGTGGCATCAGCTCGCGTATTTAGAGGCTGCGTATTCTCCCTTGTTTTCTACAACTTGCACATCAACTTGCTCTACCTTCATACAGTTTTTCTAGCTTATTTCCAGCAAGAAATTTTAGTGGAAACAATCCAATAAAGCTGTCAAAGAAGTTTTACAACTCAAATCTAGCTTGTTTATGGGATCAAGGAGAATCTTAACATGATTTAATATTTTTTCTTTTGCACAAATTCCTTCTATAAATAGGGCTTTGGGAGAGCTTGTTTGATAAATTTGGAGGCTAGAAACACTACCAAAATGTAGTCTTCATTAGTTTTTCTTAGTTCATTAGTTTAGGTAGGTTAGTATAGTTTTATTCTATCTTGTATCATGCTAACCAAGGATGATGATTGAGATTTGAAGATGGAGAAGATGTTGCTCACATGTGACAAGGGATTCCATCTCTTCAACTTTTTAACTCTTGTATTTGAATCTTATGTTTAGTTATAATACAAGTATGGTCTTTTCTTTCATATTTTTCATGTTTTTCTAAAGTTTATGCCTAGAGTTATGGATGAACTTTCTATATCTTGTTCGTGATATTTACTTGGTTATTTGATAATATTATTTTGAGCAAGTTATTTATCACTTTTATTTTTCTAATCATGATTAATCGGCTATTAATTGTGATAATCTTAAGGTATTAAGTTTGCAATGAGAATTGAAAGTTAATACTAATAAACCTAGGGAGTACTTTCACGAGAGTAGAGATACATTTTTTGTGACTTTAGTGATTTGTTTCATGTAATTTTATAGAAAAAAATGACTTTGTAGTTAATTTCATATCCATGAGAGTATGTATAATTTAGCTACAAGTATAGTTGATTCAATACGAGAGTATTTCACATACATTAGGAAATTAAACTATAACTAGCCAAGATAATCGCCTTCACTTAATTGGTAATTTTATTTGCAAAAGTAATAAGGAATTCCATACCTCTTATGAGTTTTTTATTGTTATTTTTATTACTTTTATTTCATGTTTATAGTGTAGGTTTATTCTCTTGCATTTGTGATGGTCTAAATAATAAAAGAGTTCGAAAACCATCAATAATTGACAATCTTTCTTGTGGGTTCGATCCTTAATTCCCTCTACTCAATTACGACTCGTATACTTGTAGAAAATCGCATGTGGGGTATTTAAAATTTTATAAATGTAAAATTTGACTGTGAAATGAGCTTAATTATTATATACATATCCTGCACACGTCACTTTTCTTTTTCCTTTTGAAGCAAAGACCAAATTCCACACTATTTGTAGGAAAGCACTTCTCATCGAGGTAGAGCATGAACAAATCAAATGACCTAATGTTGGCTGCTTCCATTTTTTGGATAGCAAGTTTTAACATCAAAATTGAAAAAAATAAAGAAAAATAAAAGAAAAAATTGCGAGTGAAGATTAATCACCAGCTACTATATTACCTTCTTCAACAAACTATTTCCTATCTATTACCAAATTTAAGACAAGCCTTTTTCCTATCCCTTACCAAATTTTGTTAGAAGAAGTAGAAGCAAAAGAAAGTAGGGGGAATTTCTTGTATTTTATTCATCAACACTAGAGCTTTTATATAGGCAATTACAAAACAAACTTGCAGAAAGTTTTTGCTATAACTACACCTTGATTTTCTCAATTAAGTTGTGACTACTTAATCTTAACAAATAATCAGCAAACAACTAAATCCCTAAAGACTAGGATAAAACAAAAAAATTATCCAATAAACCTAACAAATTTATGACAAGCCTTTCAAATGATGTGAAGGATAAACTTCCAAATCTCAAATTACAACAAATTAGAAAAAAATCACAAATCCAATAGCCAACACCTTTTGAAGATAATAGTTTCACTTGTGTATCTAAGCAACTACAATTGATTTCTCTAGACATTTGTCTACCAAGTCTGATGCGTATCCTCATATGTTCTTAATGGCTTAACCAAAGAAGGAATAGAAAATTGGATAGAAGAGGAAAAAGCAACGACTTTGGTTTAGAAAGATGGAGAAGGAGAAAAGATGAAGGAGGAATTAGAATATGTGATGGAATTGACGGTAAAGAAGGGTGAACAGTTGGAAGCAAATTAGCATACAATTTTGGCGAGATGTAAACATTGAAGTTGCAAACTTGAAAGGGTAGTCTCCCACAATTTACATTTTTTCCTTTTTCTTTTTATTATTTTGAGGTAAATTCTTATATTATTCAATTTGTTGGTTTATATATTTTATGTATATGCCAATATGTGTTTGATGAACCATGGCCTCTATAAGGGCATTTTGGGATTGACGAGTGCAAGGTATACATATAAAAATTAAGATCATTCACAGTCAAATTTTACATTTATAATTCCTAAATACCCCACACGCGATTTTTCCGCAAGTATACGAGTTGTGATTGAGTATAGGGTATTAAGAGTCGAACCCATAGAGAAGATTGTCAATTACCAATAGTTTTCAAACTCCTTTATTATTTAGACTATCACAAGTATAAGAAATTAAATCTACACTACAAAAGTAACAAAAATACAATATAAAGCTCCTAGAAGTATGAAATTCCTTACTACTCTTGCAAATGACATTACCGGTTAAGTGAATGCTATTAGCTTGGCTAGTTATGGCGTAATTTCCTAATGTATGTGAAACCTACTCTTGTAGTGAACCAACTATACTTGTAACAAAGCCATACCTACTCTCGTGGTTATGAAATTACTACAAGCTCATTCATTTTATGAAATTATATGAAACAAGTCACTAAAACCACATATATAGGTGCATCTCTACTCTCATGAGTGTACTCCCTAGGTTTATCACTTCCTTGAACTAGTGTTAAATTCCAATTCTCATTGCAAACTTAACATCTTAAGATTATCACAATTAATGGCCAGTTAATCATGATTAGAAAACCAAAAATGATAAATAACTTGCTCAAAATAATATCATCAAATAACCAAATAAATATCACTAGCAAGATATAGTAAGTTCATCCATAACTTTAGGCATAAACTTTAGCCCAACATGAAAACAAACACCAAACTTGTATTACAGCTAAACATGAATCAAATACAAAAGATAACGTGATAGGAGAGAAGTCGCCCTTGTCACATGAGATCCAACTCTCCATCTTTGCTTTTCAAATCTTCATTCAAATCTAGCTACAAATGCAGGAATGATAACCTACTCTAACTATACTATACTAATGAACTAAGAAAAACTAGTGAAGACTACATTTTTGTGGAGTTTCTCTAACCTTCCAAAGTTTTCAAAATGGTCTCCAAAGGCTGCTATTTATAGAGAGATTCAAGCCACAAATGAGTTGTTTCTAATTATCATTTTTGGCTCTTAAAACTCCCAAAGGTTGGCTCTCCAACTTTCAACACTCTTCTTGGTCAGATATAGCCAAAATTACTTACTGGAATTGAGTTGAAAAGTTGTGTGAACAAAGAACAAGTTGCAGAGCAAGTTGCAGTTGAAAATGATTAATACACGACCTCGAAAATGCGACCTTAGGTCGTGTATTGTATCCCACGTATTGCCTTTTGCAGGTTGCTCAATTCTGGATAGATTTCATCCTTGCACTATTTTTGGTCCAATTTCAACTGATATTTTCTTGATGATAGAAGCTAAAATAACTCTTATACAAATCATAAAAGTTGTAGCCCTTTGCGTTAGCTTTCCAATGCATCAAGTATTATCCAATTTGGAGCTCTATAGACCAAGAAATGACCAAAATACCCT